GCAGCAGTTTTCTTCAAATGATAACAAAAAACCAATGCTGTCCGCAAATCGTAGTTCGTAGGCACAAAACTCGACATGTTTAAGGTTATAGAAAAATATACCGGTGTATGGAACTTGGGTTGTTGTGTGTTGAAAATCTTCGTCAGCTGTTAGAGGGAGAAGATGGCGCTGCAGAAGCGGTCTTACGGTCCCTAAACTGATGGCTAGCACCATCTATAGAGAAATTCCGGTTTCATACTTTTACACCTGGTAAATAGATCATCTTTACCAATCTGGATGGAAAAAATATAAAATATATTCATTTTCGTCTTAAATAAGGAAAACATGTCTCTCATCTGAAAATTATTTGATATGATGTTATGTTCCATATTCTGAACTCACTTTTCAACAAGATGAATTAAATAATAGACGCCTATGCGTGAAACCTGAATCAGTCTACGGTTTGGAGGTTAAATTTCAACGAAACAACAAATTTCGATTTTGTCTCCTTTGATCTGTTCTTTTTAATTAAACTAATGCAATAAATTAAAGCATAATAAAATATACTTGTTTCACTATAACATATTTCACCAATTCAGCAGTGCAACTAAAAAGAACAGACCACTCATTAATTAATCCACTTTATTCCCGTATTAAACTGTCAATACAATTAATTAATCCATTTTAATCCCGTATCAAACTGTCGACTGTGAAAGCTTATTCGACAGTCGATTACGACTGTCAACTCTTAATGGACCAATTATAATAGACTAGTTACATGACATTCACTATGATAGGCCCTACAGACAATAAGTGCTAGTCATATCGATCTTCACAGTCAATGGTGTGATGGTCTGATGTGGTCTGACTTTACAGAAAAAGACTGAAATAAAGACTGCGTTCAGAAAACACATTGATCATGAATAGTCAATGATTATTAGTCTTTTTTGTGTTAGATCTTTAAATTTAAAGCAATTACGTTGACGAATTAGTCAACCGTTTTTAATTTTATGTGTGATCTGCATAATTTTTATTATAAATTTTTATAAAGTTTCTCTTAAAAACAATACTATCTAAAAAATTATTGAGATGAGTAGCTCTGCTTACCTTATCTTCCATCTAGATACATTAAAAGCAAAATTATCTTCATCTCATCTTTGACGAATTTTCAAATTTTCCGCTCGTTTTCATCTAGATAAATCTGAAATTATCGGAGGCAAACACTACTTATATACAATGCAGCAAAGAGACAATTTTTTTCTTTATACACATATATATTAGTTGTATTTATATATTATTGTATTTAATTGTGTGAATTTTCATATTCATAGAAAGTATCATAATGGAATAACAAACGGAAAAACAGTCGATATAACATGACACGCCAAGTTACTTTTGCACTAGAGCATTCTTTAGCTGCACGCTTTGCACTCTGTAGTTTTGGCTTGCACTGGTTTGGTTCAGTTCAGTTCTTGTGTAGTCCGAATCCAGCTATAAAAATCAAACCTTTGCCCATATCAGACTACGAATTAGAATTGAGTTTAGATTAAAATTTAACCAATCGGAACAAAGTTCATTAAACCTAAGTTTAGTGAATCTTTTTCTGATTGGCCAAATTTTAATTCAATCTCAATCCTAATCCGCAGTCTGGTACGGGCTTTAGGCCTGTTTTACAATTTCATTCTACAATGTCATATGTCGCTGTCGGATGTCAAAATATAGACGATGGTCCAATGAAGGAAACTCACTTTCGAAAAATAAATTCTCTCATTGGACCATCGACTGTGTTCCGACACCCGACTCTGGCTTACGAAGTATTATAGAACAGACCTTAAGACTTTAATGACACCTTTCCGTCAGCCTTATGGCTTCACGGCAAGTATTTCCGCGTTCTGTGCACAAAAGCCATTAGACTTGTTCTACAATACGCCGTATGTCGTTGTCGGATACTGGAACGTAGCCGGTGATCCAATGAGAGAATTTTCGAAAGATAATTTTTTTCATTGGACCATCGGCTATGTTTTAGCATTTGACAGCGAAATACGACATATTGTAGAACAGACCTCAGGCCAATATCCCATTGCGCGGAAATCTTCAGCAAAAGGGAATGTGCGGAGCCAACGCAACTAATCATCCATTCCGTTCTTTTCGTGACAGCTGTGATTGGTCACGTTAATTCCGCACGTTTCGTTGAGGATTTCCGCGCATTGAGACACCGGCCTTATGTATGAATTCGAAAAAGATATTTATGTATATACATGTGTACAATTTGTCGTCGCGTTATACTTACATACATATTTTTGATAAAATCTTTCCGGCGGAACGCATTTGTCTGGAATCTCATTTTAAGGTCAATGTTAGTGATGTTGTGGCTTGCCAGTTGGCTGCCTGTAACCATTGAGCAATGAGAACGTATACAATTTTATTGAATCTTTTAGGTTATATTTGTACTAAATAGTTTATTTATTATTATTAATTATATAGCTATTAATTCATTATTTTGTCCGTCATGTCGCCGATAGGATGCAGAATTTTTACAAAATTATATAGAAATAGGTTGAATAACTTATCACAGCGAATTATCGGAGCTAGATTATCTACCGAAAAAAATGCGGAATCTGTCAAGAATATTAATCTTGCGCCGGAGCCAAGAAAAATTCATGCTGCAGTACTGAAGGAATTCTCCATCCCTCTTGTTATAGAAAATTTGAAACCACCAAAAAAAGTGCAACACAGTGAGGTTTGTATAAATGTGACTATGTTCAGCAGAGAAAGCAGTTTTGCAACTGTTGTAAAATCTCATTGGCATGCTTTTAAATTTAATCAAGATTAAGAGCATACACAAATCAGATTCATGAATTTGACAACAAAAACTGCAAAACTGTTTTTTTTTGCTGAATGTAGCTAATGTCATGTTGCAGGAAATCTAGTTCTTGTTATATGTAGCTATTAGAAGCTCCTATCCATATTCCATTCTTTGTATTCTTATTGCAACGAATATTTTAAATTTAATATATATACTTTTGTAACATGTATATTTAAGTAATAATAATATGATATCTAAAATATATTTTAATAACTACAGCTATATTTTTACACCTATATTTTACATTTTTAGGTCCTTATTGATGTTTATTACTGTGCCTTGAATGCTTCTGATATACTTCTTAGTAAAAATTTATATATATTTGAACCTAAATTGCCAACAGTTCTTGGTTATGAGGTTGTTGGAAAGCTAATTGAAGTAGGTACAGAAGCAGAAAAAAAAGGCTTTACTGTTGGTGACAAAGTAATTGCTCTTAATAAAGACCGATTTGGAGGTTTGGCTGAGAGATGCCTAGCTGAAGTTGGGGTAGAATATGTATAAAAAAATATAAAATTTCAGAGATAAAAATTTGAGATGATATGGTCTATAATAATATTTTGTTTGGTTTAGGATATATGGAAAATATCTTCCGAATTGAAATTTATAGATGCTGTGAGTATTTTAGACAATTATATCACTGCTCTGGTTGCATTAGAGACAAAAGTCAATCTTGATGAGAATGACTTGATCTTAATAAATGTTGGCATAAGTGGTATTGGTCTAGCAGCTGTGGATTTAGCTACAAACGTCTTTAGAGCTAAGGTGTCTCATGCATATTTAAATATTAAATATTTAATATTTTTAGTAAATATTTCACAAATTTCAATTGTATATTTTTATATTGCTATCTTGTCATTTATTTATTTAATTACATTTATATTTATTTAACTTTAATAATAAGTAGTAACAAATAAGTTCTATAATTTATATCCTTCCTAGTTCTAACATCAATAATTAAATATTGCGTGAAATTAAGTCTCATTCAAAGAAAATTTTGTAAATGATAAATATATTTGATTAGTACTTTACTATGTAAAGTTTCTATATACTTGCAACTGTCATTGTTTGATGATGTTAAGCGAGAAAACGTATGCCAAGAATTCTTGCGATATATGTTCAAATAAAAAATGCCCATAAAATAACATTTGTGATCAATTCAGCACATTAATAAGATGTTCTGAACACTTGTTCCTTTTACTCTAACAATCCACACATGTTCCTTTTACTCTAATAATCAATAATTAACCATAAAATTAATATTGACAAAATTACGAGAAATAATGAAAGTTAAAAAAGAAGATTGCATATTATTTAATTATATGGTTATTTAATGATTGTTAGAGTAAAAGCAAAGTTTTCGGAGCATTTTATTAGTGTGTTAAATCGATCACAAATGTTATTTTATGTATATATCTTTTTATTTGAACATATATTTCAAAAATTCTCAACATACATTTCTTCGCTTTTAACGTCTTCAAACAAAAACAGTTATAGTGAATATACAGGAGCTTTAACACATTATTAAATTGCGTAGGTCATTGGAGTCTGTGCTACAGAAGATGGAGCAAATCTAGTCCGGGAGAAAGGAGCATTCACATCTCTCAAATATAAAAGTAAGAAGTTACTGAAACAAATAGAAGAAATCGCGGCTGAGCGAGACATTAAAGCAATCTTTGACGATATCGATGGAGAATACTTTAAAAAAATGTTAGATTGGTGAGTCCTGCAATTTTTACAGTTGGTAGATTTTTAGGAGATTCCAAGAAAACTGTGTTGCTCGGGTTGTCTCCAAGTAAGACGTATTGTTGAAATACATAATATTTTTTTAGTTTCACCAATGTCTACAAAGACGCAACGTTAAAGGAATTGCTGCGCGACGATAATTTTGCGGTAGTAGTACATCATCTTTCTCGCGAAGGTATTTACTTTGTATCTAAAGTATCCATAACTTAATAGTGATCAATGCATTCACTTATTGCTTCTGTCATGTAGGACGAGTGATTATAGCTGGCACAGCAACGACTATAACCGACGCTCATTCTGAGGTGCAGAAGAGTTCCTTCAGTGTCAGCGGCTTCAGTCTTACGGAGTATAGGAAGAAAATGCCTGACGTATATCGGCACGTTATACTTGTAATTTCTAGCATTTGCAAAATGTATCGAAAATTTTAATAATCTTGTTCATTTTTATAAATTAGTCAAGCCGGAGACGAAATTCTACAATTTCTTGAGGAAGGACTTATTACGCCATCTTGCTCATTGATTGTTGGCTTACACAAAATCAATGACGCCTTTCAGTTCGTTTCTGAAAGTAAATCTTCAGGTAAAGTAAGTAACAGAATTCGCAAATTTTTTCTTAGTTTTTAAATGTAAGATTGCTAATATAATTATAAAAATACGTTATTAACGCCTTGTTAATTTTGCAGGTTGTTATTGACATTAGGAATAAGGAAGCCAATGTAATAAAAGTGAAGAATTAAATAGATTTGAATATTCTGTGATCTTTAGGTACTAATATTTTTTAAAGATAGCAAAAACATTATTGAAAGAAATATAAGTAAATATTGCGTTTAACGGAGCAACGAGATACGACTGTGCCCTTGATATATATTGTCAAGGTCAAGATCTTGAATAACATTCAAAAAGTTTTAGCCGTCGTTAATTGTTTATTAAAAAGTTATCAAGAAAAGTTGTTTAGAAATCTTATGAAAGTTACTGAAAGCTGTTATTATAACAATATATATCAAGGCCAAGATTTCCTCAAAGATGAGAAGAAAATAACAAATAATTTCATATAATTATAATTTTATCATAATCATAACATACTCGTACATATTTGGCTCTTGAAACAAACTTTTCGCTTTACTAAAATATGTATGATGAGCCTATCTTATGCTAAAATTAAAACATTGAAGATTAGCATAGACCCCTGTGCAAAATATATCTACTAAATAGAAACAAATAAATATAAAAATATAATAGAATAATTATAAATTCAGATAAACATTTTTAAAATAAATAAATTATAAGTTATCGACATACCTTGCGTAAGGTCTTTTGCTAATCTTCACTATTTTAATTTTAATAATAAACCGATTCACAACTTAATATAAGGTAAAAGGTTTCAGTTACACCAGCCAAAATGTGTCCAATCTGTATATATATTTTATATATAATAATAATAATACAATAAATATAGTAAATAATAAAAATATAATACATATAATAAATATAATAAATATAATAAGTAATATAAAAGTATAATGATGTTTATTAATTAAAGATGCCTATTATATCAACTATATTCTTGTCAATAAGATGTATTATGAAACCATAATATCAAAAAATACATGAATGTGATGTCACACTTTTGCAACACTAAATGATTGTCCGCGCGGTTGCAGGACTTCTTCGTTTCCACTTTCGCGGCAGCGGACCCACCTCAGCTAGCTCAATTTTTATTTTTGCGATAACGAGTCTAATTCTTCGCTAGCCCGATTGGTAGAGCGTCGTGGTTTTTTCACCTTCTTCCTCGATATTCGCGAACAATTCGAGGAGGAGTCGGTAGAGATAATAAAGTAAAGACGAATTTAACATGTAAATAACAATTCTTTAATTCGCCTGACGACCTTCAATTACATGCAACTAATCGATACCACGGAAGATCCCATACGCAATTAAAAGAGAACTATGGCTCGGCCGAGATGTTATACAAGATTCTTTATGCGGCGGATATAAGCCGCTTGACAGCAGCTATAATAACGTGCATCGTATAAACAAAAAAAGCTCTTTTGTTCAGTTTCGTTACGCGAATCTCACCGGGTTTCCCAATGGACGCCAGCCGAGTCCTTTCAGGCAATAATTATTGCTTTCTGGCCGATCATGTACACCATTTGGTTTAGCTCGTTCGCCAAAAGCAGTTTTCCAAAAAAAAACCCGCTATTCAATAATACGGCTCCTAATAAATTACGTATAATACCGACAAATAATATCCGAGGACTACCGGCGACTAAAGAAGGTAACCGAGTCTCCGGGATTTCTACGTTCGAGATCCTTTTGAGCATGGCCCTCGTTGCCCTGCAATGTGGCCTCAAAATCTCGCACGTCCATGCGTCCCGACCTTCAGGGCGCGACGAACCCTAAGCGAATCCAAATTCCTGGTCTACTACTCGCGCAGATGCCGCCGAGAAGCGGCGGCAACCGACTTGGAATTACAACGCGACTGTAATTGTTCCTATCCGCGCCTGTACATAGTTTCTCGCTCACCCACTTGTCACCAGAAGCTCGCCTCTCCTCCTCAGGATTTCGTCCCTCTCGTTCGGCAGCTTCGCTCGCTCGCTATCGAGTCGGGACGTTCGTTTCACTCGCTGTTGGGCCACTCAGTGACGAGCAAAAATTCGCATCATCACAGTGATTTTCTAATTTGTAGGTCCATTTAAAAATAAATTCAGCTAATGAACATAATGAGCTTTTCGACGTTCGTAACGTAATATATTTCCTCGTATTTCACGCCAGAGACGTTCTTTATTTTAGGAATGTACTCTTGTTTTGGGATCAATAAAATTGGTTTTGTGATTGACTTTTTGATTAATATAATTTTCATATTTTATGAACGCCAAGAATAGTTAATATAATTATAATTAATAGTTTCAGGTTTTATTTTTTGACAGATTATATCCCCAAGCAACACGTAAACGTTCGAGGAACGTTCGCTTACGTTCACTTGGTTTGGTTATATTCAAACAAAGTGGGAACGTTCGAAGAACATACGTTCTAGAACCTTTAATATACGAGTATATCTTACGTAGCAAAAGTGTCGCAATATCACATTTATGCTGCTCTGTTACAATCCCATTTTTTAATTAAAATATATACTCGTACATCTTGAAGTTTGATTATGTCTATTTATAACAAATTATTTAAAAATATATTAATTGCTAAAAGATATTAACCCTTTTAGTGCCGGGAGCCGATATATCGGCTCCTGCTACACCGGCGAGAAGTGCCAGAGCCGATATATCGGCCCGCACCTTGTAGCGCTTTACTATTCGCATTGCGAGAGATCTCTATCAAAATAAATTTAAAATACGTTATAAATAGTCTAATTTCATTACGAGAGAATTAAAATAAATAATTTTTAAATATTGCTTTTCGTTTAGTTTTTATGAGTCTTTTACCAAATCCTAGTAAAATCGGCCGGTTATCTTCGCATAAGCACCTCTTTTTCGCCCGGCACTAAAAGGGTTAATATATTAATATCTTCATCTTCCAGATGTATATATTTTAATTGAAAAATGGAATTGTAACAGAGCAGCATAATTGTGATACTGCGACACTTTTGTTACGTAAAATATATATTAAAAGTTCTAAAACGTATGTTGTTCGAACGTTTACATGCTGCTTGGGTCCATTAGTGTTTTTGTTTGACGGTCTTTTACAAGCATGATGACATTTACTCGTATTTTTTTTATCTCCAAATGCACATTAACCTTTAATTAACCGGCCTCTTATATTTTCTTTTAGAAATAGAGCCTAATAGAATTTCGTCAATTTCAACAATTACTCCATGACCTCCAAGTTTACATTCGTTCTTAAAGATCTATTGAGATAAAAGCTAAAATGTAACAATTGTGTACTTTCTAATTTTACGGTAAAAATATTTTCTACGAAATGCGTATTTGCAAAATAAATAGGTATTAAGGGATAATATATAATAACACAGGTATACAATGGTCACCTTTTTTGATGAAATAAGTTATTCCTTATGTTTTTCTGTGCGCTGAGTTCAAATCCGGTCGCTGAATTTGCCTATCATGTCAGGATTTTGAAATATCTTAAGGCTCCTGAGTAATCGCTGCAATTGTCCTTGTTTGATGACGTCAAAAGCGAGAAAATACATGTCAAGAATTCTTGCGTTACAATAAAAAGATATACTCACAAAATGATATTTGTGATCGATTCAGTACATTTATAAAATTGTTCGTCCACTTTTCTTTTATTCGAACAATCAACAAACAGCCGCAAAATTAATTTGACACGGAACCATTTATTTTAACCTCTTTTCTCATGATTTTGTCAATGTTAATGTTAAAACTATTTATTGCTTGTTCGAATAAAAGAAATGTTCACGGACAATTTTACAAATGTACTAAATCAATCACAAATATCATTTTGTGAATATATCTTTTTATCTGAGCGTAAAGCGCAAGAATTCTTGACATGTGTTTTCTCACTTCTGACACCATCAAACAAGAACAGTTGCAGCGACTATCCAAGAGCTTTAACCTTAAAACAAAATAAAATAACCTTAGCAAAAATAAATTAACCTTAAAGCAAAAATTGCCATTAAGATTGTTGAGTGGAAATAACAATGAAACGAAACGAGATAAATTAATTCTACCAATATGATCGTATTCAGCGTGTAAAAATCTATCGGAAATCATATATTTTCCTGGAGAGGAAAATATTTTTTAACCATAAAAACAAATAACTGAACTTAATACGATCATGTTTTCGGAGATATATCTGGCGGTCGAGCCTCGCGCGCCGTCGCTGTCGGCGCCACCGCCCAGAGCAGCCTCTCACAGAAGGAAACAGGTTCTGCAACCGCGCTCGGTCTTCTGACGGACTCGAGCGCCACCCGGCATCTCCGGTGCGTCGCGCGCACCGCCGGAACTACGCGAGTGTCACGCGATATCAACGACGGTTGATCACGTGTTCGGTGGCGCGGGAGTGTTTTGTTTTAGAGCGTCCCGGAGGTCATGCGAGGACCCCGGCGCTTTCTCTTCCGTTTCGGATTCCGGACATCACGGACGTGCTCGCGAGTGCTCCTCGCCGTCGACCCCCTTTAGCGTTTCGCATCCAACTCCCCGGACTAGTGCATCTGAGTGTCTTCGTCCGTCTCTCGCGAGCCCGCGGTAGTACGCAGTGCCCGCGACTGTGAGCGACCTTCTTGCGCCGCGCGTTAGCCTTCCGACGATCTTTCGCGAGCGTCTCTCATTAGCGGTCTTCGCCGCCGCTCGCTCTCGCGACCGTCGGATACTCGGACCTCCGTCGCGATCGTCGCCCTCGCAACGCTTCGAGCGATCTGCAACACGCGTTGTGACCGGATGTCACTAGCTTAGTGAAAACATCAACGTTTAATCCTGCCGAACCTTGAGAAGGAAAGTTCCCCACGGATCCCGTTGCCCGTCCATGGTCGCCAGGGCGTTATTTTTGAGAGCTTCGCCCAAGCTCCAGGCCCGGGAAGCTGGACCGGCCAAGTCTCCCCAGATACGCCTTTACTGTTAGAGGTTGTATAGAGGAATTCCCTCCCTGCTAACGTTGTCGTCCCCGAAGAGATATTCAGATCACTGGACGCTCGCCTCAGACACTGGGTATGGGGATAGGGAAACGCGAAATAATGAACACATACCCCGTGAGAGTAACTAAGATTAAGTTTATTTAAAGAAAAAATAAAGCACGAACAAAAAAATATTGATCCATAAATCCTGTGAACTTAATGATCACGTCTTCTATAATTAGTTTTCCGATCTCACTGCTACGCCGCATAAATAAAACTATTCTTCCCCCGCGTCGTAGTTCGGGGAAGTCTTGATTATAGACTATTCCGACGCAAGACTGTCGTCGCGAACACGTTGGAACCCGATCAGGCGCGCACGGCGGGATGACGCAACATGCGTCGCCTACCGTACCGGGTAGCCCTTTGATCCCGCCGACGACGGGACTCTTTCTCTCTTTTAAAATCTGGTTGCCCGGTTCCGGCCACCGGTGCCGCGTTTTGAGTCGAACTTCCCGCCGGACGCCTCGGTTTCCTGACGGGAAGTCTCTGTTTTCACGGAAAGTTACGAAGGGGAACAGTGGCAATTTTTCAGCGCACTTACCGTCGCCAGGCGATCGGTCGTTTCCCCGCGTCTCCCTGAGCCTCCACCAGGAGATTTGCACCAGGGCGTCTCCGTCAGCTTCCTCCTCCGTCAGCAACTTCTCCGTCAGCAACTCGTCTGCGCAGTTCTCCGCTCTTCTTCTCAATATACGTCCTCTCGCTTCCCGCATCTCCACGCTACTGCGCGCCTTTCCTTCTTTCAATTTCAAACCTTGTTCCCCCTCCGCGACGCTTCCCAATTCGCCGACGGCCCCCGCCAATCATCATCGCCCTTCGCATTCGTGTTCATTTATTTCGGT